AAAAGAATCTGTTAGCCACCTCGACAGCGGACATCCGTGAGCATGGCGCGGCACGTATTTGAAGATTAGTGGTAAAAGCTGCTCAAAAGTCAATTTGGTGAACTCCACGCAAAACTGACTAGCCCCAGTGTTTCAAAAATAACCAAGGGCAAACGGGATTTTGGAAAAATGAAAGTAGAATACCTTATCATGCTTGAAAGCCCCATTTATAAGAAATTTCTCAAGATTTTTCCTACTGAGACCTTGTCATATTACAACGGATGCACCAGCAACCGTTTGCGGAAATCGATAAGTCATAACTCATTCAACGCATTTGACTAATACAAGCAAAAACAGGTGGATATTATTACAGCTATGTCGCGTCTGATGCGGGGCAATACTAAATTCAATCCCGTGCAAGAGGCTCAAAACACTTATCATACGTGGGGACATATCTGGCGAAAGTAAGGCTATGGCACCAGCTAGAACAATATCTGCACATCTTTCTTCTGTGTATCCTGTCAAAAAAGCAAACAGTTTACATCATTCAGTGTACAAAACCTATTTGAACTTAATGTCATATTATCTGTACGGTTGATCAGTCAATATCAGGGTGACAATCTGGTTTTGGGCATGAAATGTGACAGAAACCAATCATCGAAACATATCGATTGTGTTTCGTGAAGCCTAATTCATTGGCATTTCAACGGTTAAATTCACTTCATTGACATGAAAGGTTATGTGAGAGAATTTCCAACACAACTTGGGATTCTAGTTTCAGAACACAATTTCAGGCGAATAATTGTTTTTAGTAACTCATAATCATACCGTTACAGTTTATGTGGGGGAAGCCACCAGGGGTTGGAACGGGGAACACTATGTATAATGTGAAGAATCGTTGACTTCGTGTATGCGTGTCTCTGTGCGTGTGTTGCTCACCGCATTCTGAGATTTGTGCTTCCGGGTTTTCAGTTATGTCACGTTGGTAGACACCCACCATCGGGTTAACACAGGTGAAACATTCCGCATTAATTATCAGATTCCCCTGAACCGATCTAAATATGCTGGAATCTTTACGTTATCGGTAGCCGAAGCCATCTATATTAAACATTCGATCCCCCAAACTATGTATGTAGCCAGAAGCGTTTTATACAAGCTCTCCATCTCTCCTGGGTTCGCGAAAAAACCCGTGTCTCCTGCTCACGCACACATACATTTTCACACAACAACGACAATCCGTCAGAATTGGGTCGGCCACACGACGAATTTGACATAACTGAATATCCTGTAAGGACAGATCTGAGAATGCGGTGCGCAACACACACAAACACACATACACGAAGTGAACGATTCTTCGTAATTCACTGTTCTCCTTTTAACCCTTAAGTTTTTTCCCCATATAAAATATAACGGTATGATTTTCAGTTATTGAAAACGATTGCTTGCCTGAAAGTTTGTCCCAATTCGAGTATGGTCATATTTGGGACTTTTAGTTTTAGTCTGAAGCAGAGGTGACCTCCTGAAGCATCAGTATGTCCAATGTCAGATTCACGCTTTGAATCATAAGCCTTAATTTCTTCAAATTCATCTGACTAACCGTATCATTCTATGTTTACTACATCTTGGAAACATTCCCTTCTTGATATAAATTTCCAGGACAAACAAAAATTTGAGAAATTGCACGATACATTTTCGGAACCATTTTGCTGCATCGCAACTGGTGCTTACTACAAAAAATAATTTGTACGCCAGCTCACTCCCTGATTCGAAATAAGGACGTAAAGTCATTCTAACACGCGAGTATAGCCAAGGCATCAAGCATTTGTTTTTCGCATTTGACATACACTCATTTTTAATGTTGGCTGACTAATATTGATTTGAACTGACTATTCTTTAGACTTCACTTTCATGCACAAAACCTCAGCTCTTCCAGTCAGCCATGGACTCGGAAGAACTAGACTTGAGTTGCACTCTCATTAAACCTTATCAGTAGGGCATATCCACCTTCTCATCCGGGCTTTGAACCTGGGCTCTCGCATGGAAGTATTGTGTGTCACCTCTGTGACAACCAGTTCATATCAGGGCTGAACGGAATTGCCAATACATTTTTGTTCAGGTATAGTTTTCGCTGAATGAATTGACACACACGCGTTTCCACTGTTTGATAGCTGTTTCCTCCGCTGATCATAGCAACATACCAGATCGCTCAGTTGTTTGGTTGAATCATTTTAATGCATTCAGTAGTTCGTTCACATTTTTCGCGCATTATGTCCCACTTTTTATCCCTTTTTTCCAGTATTTTAACGCTGGTTTTTCTTTGATTAAAAGTTTGTGAATAACCCCATAACGCTTCAATACAAATCCAAATATACAATAATTTTTTTTCTACGTTGGTCAGTCCGTTACTGCCAAGTGCCTATGGAACATATGNAAACTATACCTTTGCTCGACGGACGCCAAACAGTCGTGGATGGTAGTTCCACGATCGTTGGTTGCAGAGGTTGTCAGCCGTGTCAACGGGAATCTTGGTTATGCTGGTCTGCGAAAAACTGAGGCCGTGATTAGGCAGAGATATTCATGGCCGTTAATCCATCAAGATGTTACCGTATTTTGCCGGGTCTGTGGTATTTGCCAGCGGATCAAAGGACTGAATCCAGCACCGAAAGGCATCGAAATGACAAAACCAGAACGACTGCCTTTCATTCTCATGATAACGGCCTTGTCGAAAGAACCAACCACGATTTAAAGAGTATTTTGCATGCCATCATTAAGGAGATCACTCGGACGAATGGGATCAGTGTCTAGACACAGCCTTGTTAGCCGATCGTGCCCGGGTACACTCATCTAAAGGATTCCTTCCAGCTATCCTTCTCCTCGGAAGCGACCTCCATCTACTCGAAAAAAAAACACCAGCTAAAATGATTGACATGGACGTTTTTGTCCGCGGACCCCAACAAAGCCTCTCTGCAGCCCTTCAAACTACCCATGAAACTCATCGGTCCGAACAGCAAAACCAGTAATCGGCTTACGATCGAGAAACCCAAGACCGGACGGCCGCGCCCCGCACCGGGTACATTTCAGAAGTTCCATCAACCATGGTAGGGACCAAACGTTGTTGTGCACCAGAGGCCACCCAACGTTTACGTGCTACGAGCTCCATATCGGCCTCAGGTAGACGTACTCACTGTCCTCTACGACCAGCTTAAACCGTATCGCACCTCCCGACCGACAGAAAGCGTATCCCCACCTTCTACAGTTATCGATCAACCACCGGCACTGTACATGGAAGTACCAGCTGGAAGCGGCGTTGACACACAACTTACATCGCCACTTGACACTACACTCGAATGAATAGATAATATTTGAGTTGTTGGGGAATTCTCGTGTGCACATGGATAACATGAAATCCGATGAACTCATAAAGACAACCCTTGACTTCCAATGTGCCAAGATACAAAAATTCGTTTAACTCAATTGAACGAAATTGTGTCCGAGTCGTTCTCTCACGCGATTGCCATCTTGGTATATAGTGCATTAAAATGACTGAATACGCAATTACTAATTGCACAATGATTCACATACGCACAATGGAAGTTTCAAACTCGACTACCAGCTGAACACCCCACAGCTCTTCCGGAACGATTTATCTAAAATGTGCCGTCAAAACCTAAGGAGTTGTAGCTTGTGAGAATGAAAAACAGAGTGACAGGCAATCAAAAAAGTATATCCCACAGGGCAGAACAATTTAGCATTGTAGAACCCGTTGTCTCAATTGGTCATTTTCCAAACTAGTGTCCTCGATTGTACAGAGAAGTGCCTTCACGGTCTTCATATTGTCTTTCTGCTCTTGTTTGTCTCGTGGCTAACTCATTTTTCCTTCCTGACCATTGGGACCATTTTTGCATCCTGTTTTATTTTCATGCTCCGTCTGTTATCCCAAACCTTCTTTGGATTGCATAGACAGACGCAAAACGTCAGCGGATTTCAACGGCATCCATGGCTTTGTGGTACCCTAAGCATTGCTTGACTATGGTTGTTCTAGCAATCCATGAACTTCACGAGTGGAAATGATGACAAATAGTCTCATATGAATGCGGAAATTTACTACGCAATTAATTTCAGATCAGGAAACACGAATCTCCAGAAGGGTTACCTGTTTCCGAGACCAGAAAATAAGGCTTTCCATTTTTCTCATTCTTCCATAAATCTGTAGTGTCACTACTGTGAGAGCCTGCAAGAATGATGAAGCAGTAAAACGAAAGTTCAAAAACGTTTGTTTTCATCCCAAAACTAATGAACTGGTCAACTGTGCTCCAAATAGCCGCTCCTCTTGATCCCTTACAAAGACGTTTCCCACACAGTTTCGCCTCAATTGAGAAAGCTTCTGACAACCTGGTGAAACCGAGCAAACCGTTCCAGCTTTCAATTCTACTGTACTCTTTGTTCATCTACTAACCATCACGGTTTCACATGTTGTGCCTAAGTACAGCAATAAGCATAATGGTATAATACAACGGAGCTAGAATATCAGCGTCTTGTAGTCATCATATCCATTGAATGTAAGTAAGATGTGACAATTCGCACCATCGTTTGTAACCAAAACCCTAGACATTCTGTAGCACTTGAAAATAAACAGTTCTTTTCTATATTACTTCAAATAATAATATACTTTTAGACAATTGTACATTGTATTTTGTATGAAAAGAATTCGGGGCAAGATTGTCGTAGTTGTTTTTTAGTCCAAAGGAGATTATTTGCACCATTGATTGATGATCATATATATATATATTTACTTTAAAAGATTCGTATAGAATAAATTGATTGGCTCACGTGATCTTGAACCTGACTGGCACAACTAATTTGAAACGCATAGAATGTAAACTAAAAATTAAATTAACAAAAACATTTTCAACAAAGAAAGAACTCTCAAGTAGCCAAAATAAAAAAGAAAATCATAGAATCGGAAGAGGCATTTTGGTTTCATGTGGATCAGTAATTCCGTTTGTTTGGTGAATTCACATTCACTGCTCCGTATTCAGTTCGATTTCTTCAAGTAGTTTGGGATAAACGTTGGTCAAAAACCATCTGAATGATCGACAGTTGAGTTGTTTGGCCAGTTCTTTTCGATCAAGCACTGATCCGGCGTCAACCTCAACGGCCGTTGGTGAAGCGTCGTAGAACAAGCTGAGATAATCCTTAATTTCCTGAGGTCGATGCTGTTCCGTATCTTCGACATGTGTGAGCCAGACAAGAGCCACGCGTTTCCGGTTTTTCACCACAGTCTGCTCAATACCTTCGGGAAACGAGTATGGGTGTTTTTTGCGAAATAGATGTCCCACTCGACTGCACGGGATAATTTCCATTTGACCATGACACATCCATGTTCGTAAGGAGAGTTCAATGTTTTCCCCACCCCAAATATTCATTTCCTCGTCATAACCGCCCATCTCAAAAAACGCGCGACGCCAACTGGCGTATATACCACCGGATATGGCCGGTGTAAGTTGAGGTTCGAAGGCGGCATTATGCGAAGCAGTCGGTTTCGGGGGATACTCCCACCGGAAAGTGAGATTCCAAGTAAATCCGCCCGTATAAAGCGGACGGTTGATATCTCCTTTTTCCTTGTTGTCAAACACGATTGGACTGACAATCAGACGTTCTGCGTTTAGATCTATAAATAAGAAACACATGATAAAATAGCAATGGTGTATTGAAACAATGAAAATGTGTGGTTCTCGGAGCAAACAAGTGGGCAAGAGTAATCGCGTAGTGATTCAAAGTACCATATCAGGAACAAAACATATTGTGCATTTGTACAATGTCGCATTTTATCAATCCCATTGTATCCGCAACCGCAGTTGGTTGGTGTTGCCCAACGTCTCGTTGTCCAGCTTTGGCACGTTGCTCGTCACAACCGCACGAATCGCCTTTCTACGGAACTAGTCCGAATGAATTGTGTTCGAAAGCTTTTCCTCAACCGGATGGTGACACCACAGACAGACAGTGAATGAGACCGCAGCTGTGAGAATTTGCTTATTGTACCAAATGAACGCAATGTGGATAATCGTTTTAATAGCCGAGATAGATGGGAGCCAAACTCGTGCGTGCTCAGAAACTAACTGACGATAACATTGCTTACACACAATCAAGCAAGGATGTTTCTAATGCGAACTCAATAAAGTGTTTTAGTTCATAGTATCAAAGAGAACTCAGGTTCGATTCTAACTGCTCGCGTACAATGCTTTAATTTCACGTGAAACACCAGCATGAATTGAAACCATACTGAAATCTCTACGGAGGAAGGACAAAAGAGTTATCCAGTAAGAGGTTGGATGACGAAGGATTAAACATTAAGACCGTTTCTGCAAAACCAGTTTCGGGCAAAGTATTGGTTCCCCAACCACTGGTCCAAATCAAAGATGGTGCTTTCGATGATTCGTTTCTCCGGATTTCGCCACTTTTGTAACCAAGGGAAAGGGAACCTCAGCCTGTCAAAAACTAGCCGTCACAGTAAAATGGCCAGTTTTGGGGATGGTGTTTCTAATGTCTAACCAGAACCAAAAGATTGGTTAGAATGTACTGTGAATGAAAGTTCTATGAATGAAATAATTTTTTAAAAACCTAAAAAGTCATCTGTCTTTCTAAGGTTAGGATCTGTGTTAATCCCGAAAGCCAAAAGTACTCAAAAAAGCATTCTAGAATTTGACTTAAAACAGAGTACACGTAAATTGCAAAAACATTGATACCTTATCGGATACAACACAGCTTGTGGATTCAGCTGATTAGCAAGTCAACAAAGTAACTGATTCTGCGAAATCTGTACATTCTGGGTTCCTAGGCTACTTGATTCTATTCCTCGCTCCCTCCTTCTTCGTAAATTTGAGTGCTTCGGTTGCCCCAGGCATTCATCAGTCTGGTTTACACAACACATCTTTGAGAGAACTCAATGTGTTTTGGGGTGCTACTCAAGTAGTAGTAGTGAGTAGTTTCAAGTACTTGGACTTTCACGAAATCCGCGAGTAGAGGGAAGGATCTGGTTTGCAACTATAGGAGACGCAAATGGACTCTCAGACTAGTTACAATAGATAAAGTAATCATCCTGAAATTATTAAACAATGGTAGCAAATTAGATGTTTAGTTCTATGTAATCTGATTTGTCGTTATCGGATGCTGTTCTAGAAACAACTATTCTCGCCCCGTAACTGCCTTTCGGTTTGGTTTGAAAACGTTTTAACCATTTTCGAACAAATCCTGGGTGTTCCAAGAGTTTTCCAGTACTTGTCCCATACTTATATTCTACCTATATCAGCGAGTTATTTGTTGCCACCCGCCATTCTCTTTAAATACTGTGAAAATGTGATTTCATGTCGGGCTTCCTCTGATTCCTGTGATCTTTTACGATTTTCCGACAACTCTAACAACTTTCAACAATTTTGCGCTACGTTTGGTCTAGTTCAAGGTTCATGCACACATTTCCAATGTCTCTTTAGATAATCACGTTCCTGTTTCTCATCCAATCGGGAATCGATTAGGTTCTAACCGGTCTACCGGGGGAGCAGTATCAAACACCTAGGGATTATATTGATGATAAAATTCATTAGACCTGTCACGTTGAACAGAGTGTCACCAAACATCGACTAAGTTCTTTCCATATCCGTGAACGTCATTCCCATCTGTCAACTACGTCCCAATGTCGGTGTGTTCCCTCTCGCACAAACCTATGGCTTAACTCTACATTAGCCTATTCAGCAGATAACCTGGTTAACAGGAAAAACGGTTTTAAAAAACGGTTTTCAGAGCTTTTCTGGACCCTTGTTATCATTATTTTTTCTGCTGTGTGCACTCTTGACAGAAATGTGGGCTTTAGGTCCACGGAATTGATAATTAAAATTAAAATTACGATTTGAAATCGTCATTCGGAGAACAAATATCACAAGAGGAACCTTAAAGAACTGCAGATGGTAAACCAGTGTACAAGTACAAGTGGCCGAAAGTTCCCCATTTGCAATTATCGGGTTAGTGAGCAAGTTTGTTCGTTTTCTCTAAACTGCACAGGATTTTGTGCCTATCCGGAGCAGACATGCAGTTGAGAGCAGTTTACGTTTTCTTTAATTTTCATCTCAGTTTGGTTATTAGTGAACCAATTAAATCTGTTTAATTAAGGTACGTCAAACAGGTATATTTGTTTGTCAGTTTGATCGGACAGTTTGGATGCACTGAGTTTTTGGGTAACTGCGGTAATTGTTAGACAGTAAACAAGTCGAGAGATCATACTATTTTGCTTAGAAACGAAGCAGTGTAAAGTCCTCAATAAAATTTAAAACATGAAATAAAGGTTGTGGGCGGAATGTGGGCAGAATGAAACGCACGAATTGCGTGGTTGAATAGAAGAACGACGGGCCGAATTCGCCTTTACTCGAGTAAACAACATGGTATCTGCTCTGGATAGTGTTGAGGCATGCGCAAATTATTGATCAGTTGGGAGCTCATCTCTCGATAGTCATGGATGCAATTAGCACACATTCACATTGAGAGTGGCAGACAATTAGGTACATTTTATAACCCATTATAATTTGATTGTAGTTGGTTGGCTTTGCAGATACATCAAAATTATTTTACGGAGTACACTAATTCCAGTCAATCAATACACTGGCTATATATTCATCCCTTGGGTTGAACTTTAAACCCAGTTGCAGATCATTGGGGTGATTGGAAAAATTTACATGAAATAATTTATCATAGCAGTATTTCTATCAAACGCATTTAGAGACATAAACAATACGATCCTTGGGTAAAAATATGTGGCAATCACCAGAATATGCTGCAAGATGATTCCAGATACATAATATTTGATTTTGACAGATCGATTTTACAAATTCAAAAAATTCCATACACGTATGATCTAGCGTTCAGTGCTTTTGCCCACATTGCGTTTTAAACCAACACTGCGAGGAATGATCTACCCCTTGTCTCCTATTCTCGCAAACGTTTTGCTTCCCAAAAAACGCTGAAATGAAAATGCCGTCGGAAACGTTTCCACTACGTATGACAGTGACTATAAAACCACCACTTGGGAACAGTCCATTTTGGCACATGTATTGTACCGAATTACTGTTGACAGTTCAGGAACGCGAACCACGCAGAAAAGTGTTGGAGCCACGTTTTTATACTGGTTCTGTTGAACGATCACACCTTATTTGAAAACAAAGTAGCCTTGTGAAACGTTATATTACTGCAATTGCACGTAGTTCCAGGATGCGGACTATTTGCTTTTGTTCACAGAAACGAAATAATCACTCAGAGCAATTGTGCGCACTAGGAGAAGTAAAACTAAATGATCTCCAGGAATAGAATTAAGTCGTTAGCTTGCAGATATATGCGGACATTATTGGCAAAGTGAAATATGTGTACGCATTTTGGGTGAGAGGGAATCCAATTTTATCCGCTCATCTATTCAACCCACCGGGGAGCCAACTGGTAACCGATCAGTTCACCGGAATGCAATCAGATTTAAGAAGAGGTTTTGAGGAGAACAGGTTGCAAGCTTGGACACTAGGCAAATCGTATTTGGTTGATTATGATACAAAACCTCTCATTAGTTGATCCGCAAAATATGTACAAGTACGTACTGTCCTACCCTTACCAATACTTTACCGTGTAAAGCCACAATGCTAGTGTTTTATTTACTCCGTGAATTAATGTAAAGATATTGTTAAATTTAACGAGGTAGGGCTTTCTGGCTAGATCCTAGTTCACTTGCATAAGTTCAAAAGATCAGCTTCTTCGAAAAATCAATTAAACCAAAATAAATTGTTCAAATGTACATGGCGCAAAATGAGTAATTCCCGTGATTGGCACATTTAATTGGCTGGATATTCATTTTTTAATTCTCATATAAACAACCGGTTTGTGTTTATGATAATTCGCAATTACAGTTTCCGCGAAAACGTTTTGGAAACAGATGCGATTCAATGGGGCATTAGGAACTACCATTTATTGCTCCCAAACAGTTTACCTTCCTATCACCGTTTTGTCCTGCCCCGTACCGGGAAGCACTCGTATTGGTTTTGTTAACCATCCGCACTCGCATCATGGCTAGTGCATGTCGTTTCGACACTCCGGATAAACAATCAATCAATGAATCATTCAATTGTACAATGAACGATGTGCACAGTCGAAAATGCGATGATGGATGACCTCACGTGGTCAGGTCAGTGAGGTCGGCAACAATAAAGAGAAAGATGCCACGATAAGGCTTCCGTCAGGTCACGCATACATCTCTCTCCGGTTGCAAACTCCTGACCGGCAAAATAAAAATGGTTGCCTCTGTTGCCGAGTGCAAAACCTGGCTGGTGTCTAATCCGGTTTGGTGATTTTCAAGCATTTCTATCAAATTGCTCGGTGTGTGAGGTATGTGTGAGGTCCAAGATGTAAGATTGATGCCCTAGCTTGCTTGCCAGAGACGTTGCTGAAACAAGTTTCTCGCATAATCTTTCCGGTTGCTGTTTTGCAACATGCATGATTTATTGGTGGTATGTCCCGCAGGCAGAAATAATGACCCATATGAAAGTAGAAAACAAACAATGAAGACCTACTATTCATGGTAGTTGCTGCGACATGTAAAAGAATGTATAAAATGCCCTACAGCCACGAACAAATTCAAATAATCAG